AAATAAAATTAGTTATCAGCAGTCCAATGACAAACTTTAGTTTTATTATTATGTATTCTACAGACTGCAGCAACCACCGCACCGGTTTCAGTTACAGAGAGAGAGGGAAGGGAAGAGAGGGAAGAGTGAATTCTGTAGGATATTGTGTAACATTTTCAACTGAACGCTCTGATGGCTGAGACTACTTCATGACAGCTAGTTAACAGCCTAAGGAGAGTGTCTGTGAGAGAAGAGATGCGATAGGTCTGCTGACCTGCCTTCTGTTTTAACAAAGCCTTCAAAGCTCTTAAACTCCTCTATAATCTCATTTTAAACTACCCCATATAAACATGTACAGTATATTCTATATTTTTGCTAACATGGTCAAGTCTACAGTCTTTCCTGAATCCTTGTGCCTGTAATATAATGTCCTGTGATCTGCTGTCCATGCGGTGCCATGTGGTGCCATGCAGTAAAAGTCAGTGAACACTCCATGGTGCCATGCTTTGTGAACATACCACCAGGACTTCACAGAACCAACCAGGCAGCAGAAAGGAGCTTGTGGTGTGTGTCATATTGCTCCCTGTTCTTCATAAATCCTGTTCTAGTAAGAATTATGAAAAACTGTTACATTCTCCTCTCTTCTGAGTAGCAAACACTGCCACTCTGTGGTCAGACTAAGAAATGCACCAGGTGCTCCATGTACTGTACCTTTGTCTCAGGAAATGAGATGGAAGTTCTTATCTACTTCTTTCCCATAGTGTTAGAGAGAATTAAAAGTGTCTTACAGTTATCACCCTGGCTGCTCAAGTTAATATTACAGGCTGACAGAGGTCTTTTCAACTTATTCTCACTATTGGGTAGCAGGCAGAGATTCTCATGAATTGGGGATTTGTAAAGTTTATTTGTTGCCTCTTTCTTGAAAGCTGGAAAAAGAAAAATATGCCAGCTGCATTTATCAGCTATTTTGGAAGACATTTCCTGAAAAACATATCAAATCCATCCCCGGACTCAGAATAAAAATGAGCTGGGATTAATATAAAGACTGTGCATTTTGGTTTGATTTTACTTTTTTTTTACACACTATTTTTTGTTTTTGTTTTATATTGTCACCCCATGCTGAATTATTAGTTCAGCATGAGATTTCTGGAGAGTGACACAGGTGAGCAGGAAACATTATTGGATTTTAATGGACTGCTACAGGAGGAGAATTGCAGCTGTAAGTATGTTTTTTACATTGCATCCAACAACAAAATGATATAGTTCCTGATTTCAAAGCTGTTGTTATGGCTTCGGCAGTTGAGAGATCTAATCTCTTGCCCAGTCATATTTAGTTATTACTGATAGCAGGGTTTTTGGATTGTTGGAAATAGGTGGACTTCTCAACAAAAAATAAAAGCACAAACCAAGCAGTTGGCACTGTACTGCCCAGTAGAGGTATTGGTTTGCCATGGATGCATTCCCAGTTTGCTGTATACCGAAGACAAGCAGTTTCGTACAGCTGCAGCTTTAATCTGCCTGGGAAAGAAAGAGACATGACCATGCTCCTCCAACATTTCCACCTGCAAAGCCATTCATCATTTAACACACTTCAGGCTCCACACCACCTAAAAGGTGAGTTTGAGCCAACTCAAATAGCAGCTTCTCTCTCTCTGTTGTTGCCCACCCAGTTACAGGAGTAAGCAATTACAATTACATTGATAAATCAGCCACAAGGGCCCTGGCCGATTAATCCATTTTAGAAATCCCAGTTACAGTCACCTAGTGACATGACCCAGCCTTGAACTAGTAACATCCGGACCATTAAGTATAACCTGCACAGCCTACAAGCAGTGTACTGCTACTTCCACATTACGATCCCCATCATCCTCTCATTTTGAAACAAATTTCTCACACGAAGGTTTAAGATTCACATACAGTATGAAATGGTGTCAAATGGCACATTAAGACAGATAACATAGTGAGAATTACCTGAGATTGGTTTTAAAAATGTATAAGGACAGGATTCTACATGGCTGGTAGAAAAAAAAAAGAAGACAAACCATGTTTCTTGGAGCTGTTGTTAACTGAACTGAGATTAGTGCCAGTAGTTGTTTTTTTTTCCCAACACAAACCATTGCTGTTCAATCAAAGCTGTGCCTCATTCCCCCACGCATCACATTTGAATAAATGCTCATGCACTTTTTAGGAAACAGCCCTCAGTAAATCATTTGAAATACTGAATCATGCAGTGTAAAAAAGGCTATTAGTTGATATTTGGGACAACATAGCTTGGCATATATTTGAAGACCCAGCACAGGGTTATTTAGGATTCTGACAGACATTTGTAATGGAGAGCCTCTGTTCTGGCCAGGCTGGATAAATCCAATATTTATTTAAATACATCTAGATTTATTGAAACAGGCCAGCAAATTGAAATGTAGGGTCGCTTGACAAGACGATTTGCATGCGATTGCGGCGGAATGACAGAAAGTAACAGGCAGCGGTAATTTGCTGATCTGTGTTAAGCGGCGTTAAATGCACAGGGATGTTTCCCTCTCTGCCCGTTTGCCTCTGTCATTCTGAGCTGTGTCCTTTCATAAGCAGATCCGGATCCGATGGCAGTGTTCTGCGCCTGCCTGCAAACAATGGGGAAAGTGCACAGGCGCGCCCTGCAATTTGGGAAAATGGCATGAAGACTTAAGATCCCCTAAAAAAAGTGATTGCTCCATGTTCGAGCTGCAATCAGCAGGCTTTTTGCACGCTAATTTAGCCCTGGCTTGAATAAGAGGAAGCCCCAGGGGTGATCCCGACGTGAATTAGGCAAACGTTTTCCTGGGTCGTCTCTCAGCAGTCTCCCAGTCAAGTGCAGTCTGCACCATTCACCGTAAGAGCGTTGTTTCTGAAATGGGCTGGAATTAGGATCCTGCTTTCCGACAGCATAATTGCTTATCTGTGTGGAGGTTGAAAAGAAGTCAGTGGCACAGGACCCAGGGGTCGACAATGCAGCGACAATTACTGGGGTGAAATTCCTCCCGTCAGCTCAGGGCAGACTGACAAGTACAGGATGTACAGCAAACTAAAAAAGGAGTGACATTTCTTTACGGTGTATTCAGTACGTTGAATCAATGGCGAGCACAGGTTCTTACACGTGGACTGTGGGGTATTAGCTACAAACAACCAAAATGGGGCCACATGATCTCTTCTCATTTGTAGCCCTTCTTATGCTCTTATTAAATGGGAACAGCTGGGGAAAAAAACTCCAAAACATGGAGTTTTGCTTATTTTGGGGTGTAACAAGAGATAGCCCAAATGGTCTCTTTCTTCGGAAAGAAACCTTTGTGTTTTCAGTTCCAAGGCTACTGTACTTCTTTAGGAAACCCACATGTGTTTTATTATTACAATGTAATGTAACATTTACCCTGGGCTGTTGGCATTGCAGGTTATTGCTGTATATCCCCTTTAAATATTTGAGATGTGTTTGACTAGAAGCCTTTTATGTTCTCCGGAGGGGATGTGTGTGTCAGAAAGGCTCGGGAGTCCACAGTGCGCTCTCCTGCACGGCCTGGGCAAAGGCTCTGGGATGGAGTGAAGTAGGCCAGGGGTTAAATGGCTAGAGGAAATATTTAACTGCCTTTCAGAGTTTAAAGGCCCCCACTTAGTGGAGGACAGCTCCTCACAATCTGGATAATTGGATACAGGGCCAGAGAGGACAGTAAACTGGCCTTAAGTCCAGGATGAATACACGCTCGAGGTGTGAGATTGACAGGGGTGGGGGGAAGGGCAGTCTTTACTCCTTTGGGAAAGGCATAATGGCTTGACCCCCTTCCCCACCCAAGAGAGCGCACTGAAGGCCATAGCTGTAAACCAAGGGCTTGGAGCACAAAAAGGGCCAGTTGAAAGGCCATGACTGACAACCTGCTAACTCAGAAACCTCTGGGATCTGCAGCATCCACTTTAACTAAGGCAGGCCTTGAAGAGAAGCCAGTAAGACAGACACAGTCTAGAGGCTGCATGCAAAGAGTGTGGAAACACTTGAAAAAAACTGTGCTCCTACTGCAGATGATTTTGTGTCATCAGTGATTTAGAACAGCCTGTCTTTCCTTCTTGAGGGTGGAAAAAAACTATTTTTTTAAATACTGTGTTAAAAGCAATGAAAAGGATTTAGAGCTGTCAGTTTAAACCCATCAAAAAAGCTTAGAACTTACTTTGTGCATTAAATCATCCTTATGGGAAATGCAGAATTCTTAATTTCAATTTCATCAAATTAAAATCTCTGCATAGTATAGGGATACCTATAGACTGGAAAACATCGCCTTGAAGATGGATTTTATGGCACACGGCCTGTGATGGGTTCATAAATATCTGTGCCTGTGCATGTGTAGTTTACATACTCTGTCCCCTCCCCTGCTGTGAAAGGTGCACAGTCAACAAAGGCATTTCTTCTTCTGGAGGAGGCTTGAAGCATACACCCTGGTTTCCTCTCCGCTGGTGGTTCAGGAGGGATGCTTATGTATAGCGAGCTCCTCTTATGAGGCTCTGACAGTTTAATTGTGCACAAGTCAGCGGCAGGGATCAGAGGCAGAAGGATCTCCATGGCAGATAACGAGAGAGAGGGTGGAGCGCCAAATCAATATCCCTGCTCCCTCGCAGCTGGGGAGCACCAACCCATTCATTTCGGAGCCTCCCATGGAGGCACGGAGCACTGTCAGGGGACGCGGCTATAGCTGAGATTTTGCTAAAGGATTTTAATCATAATTGGAGCCCAATTAGACTAGCTGCCATTATGTAGTATTAAGAAGGATTTTATAGCAGGGGGGGTATAATGAGAGGGGGTACATATGGGCAGTAATACTTTCATCCATACTTCTTATCCTTCATGTTCCAGACTCCGATAAAAGCAGATTTTTCCAAATAATCTGTGCAATAATGGCCAATAATTCAGTATCACGGGTGTGATGTGTCAATGATCCTGCTGTGAGCTGTTGAGGAATCGACTAACGACGTGCTGGTGATCATTCCCTTTCCTGTCTTTTCCCCAGGTGCTCAAGGAAGGATCGTTGTGAACGTGCTGAGGAGCCCTTTCGCTTTGCCGCCACCATCAGCCAGTGTGTAAAAGTCACAGTGCACCCCGACAGCATTGCCGTCTCCGAGCACAGCGTGCCGGTAAGGCCCCACTAACACTCAGTTGCACTGTGGTCTTGTGAGGGCTCTCTCTCATCGCCTCTTCTCTCCCTCTTTAGACCACCATGTTTTCATTTTTATTATTTATTTCTGTTTTCCATTTTTCAACTCGGAGAAGATCATTCCTCGTCCTTTGTCACTTTGTCTCTTTCCTCCTCCTCCGGCTGCTTATCTCTATCACACAGTCGCATCTCCTGTTTCTTTACCTCAGCCAGGGTAATCGTTTTCCATCATCGGAATTTCGAAAAGGTGTAATTTTCCTGTCTTTTCTCCTGCTCCACAGCCATTTTCAGTCTTTACACTCTGAAATGACTTGAGAATAGGATTTCCTAAAGAAATCACTTTCATTTTTTGTGTGTGGTAGTGTCATGAAATGAAGAAGTGCACTCTACTTCTGTCCCTAGTTTTCACTCTGCGCTGCCAGACCAGACTGGCAGTCTAAGTTTCCTCCTGCCTCACCATGCGGCCCTTATGCAGTTAGTAAGAAAAAAACCTTACTTGAATGAGACTTAAAAAACCATCATAACTCCTTCATGTAAACTGAAAAATGTTAAAAATACACATTGAAATCATATAGCAAAATGACATTTTATATATACATTACTGTGTATACCGGGACTACTGATAGTGACCCAGAATTTTCTGGTCAGTGCTCAAATCCTCCATGATGTCTGCCATCATCTGTTTTCTCTCTACCTGGAGTTCTGATCTTAGCGTTCAGCTGAAAATTCATTTTGTTAAAAACCTTTAAAAACATTTGTGAGGCTGTAATGCAATTTGCATAAATGATTGTAAAGGTTTATGCATACTGTTTTATCATACCGTGTAGTTTTATAATGGAGTTCTGACTCTGTTTAAGTCTAATTCAAGTAAAGTGTTACAGAAAACGTAGTTGGTAATGGAGCATTCTGAGATGGACATTTGTCAACATTTTCGCACTTTTTGTTATCCTGGTACTACTGAAAGATATTAGTCCAGATTACCTCTAAAGATGCAGATGGTCGATGGTCACTATCATATTGTAGGGTGAAAATTTTGTTTTTTGGCAGAGTGCTGTGGTGTGACATGTATATTGTACACAGAGCAGCACAAGATCACAGAGCATTAGTTTCAACACTGTGACAGGGGAAGGGCAGGGGATGAGTACAATAGGTGTTAAAATAGGAAGATTCACCAGCCTTTCAGAAACTGTCCCTGCAAGAAGACCTCCTGCGGGGCTGTTATCCCCTTCTGCACTGGGTGTGAAATGACTTTGATGGACTTACAGTAGTTGTGTCTCCATTTTATGTGGCATAAAAAAGAAAAACACACTCATGGGCAAGCTCGCAGGCAGGGTGCCTGCATACAGAAATGTTAGTGGTTAGAGAACTTGGACTTCCGTCTTCTGTCTGCCCTAGCACTTTCAGTAAGGTTTAAGAACACATGGGTCTACACAGGCTTCTTTTTTGGGGGGATTTTCTTTTTCTAATATGAATATGGCAAGTACTTTCTTCCCCAGCCCACTTCAACACCCAGCTGTTGGCCTGCTGTGCCTCACCTCTAGTGGAAACCGCTTGTCAGTTAGCTAATGACACATCCCAAGCTCCAGCCTCCTGGACTACAGTACTGGACCTGTGCTCTCAGGACTGTTTCCTGCCTATACTAAATGGAATGCAGGAGAGTCCGTAACAGAGGTCTCATGCTCACTTACTTGAGGGCCGTCTGCTTTTTTTCCCCAACCTCAATAGTCAATTAATCGGTTAACCTAATTATTTACTTAGTTAGACATGTATAGGATTTTTCTTAAGTTCTTATTGGGTTCATTGCTCAAAACATTTACTTGATTAACGGTACAGCTACCTATGAAATACCTTTAAACAGAAGTATAATGAATTAGTAAATAATTAGACCAGTTATGTACCAGAGAGCTTGGATGGAATCAAAAAATAAAATCCGGAAGGCCATTCAGGATCTGAGTTTGAGATCTACAGACTCCAGACTTGTTCCTCTTACTTACACCACATCCTGTGATCATCAACCAAACCAACATTTTGCAGCATGGTTTTTAGACATTTGGATTTAATGGTAATTCTAAACTAGTGTAAGAATGTAAAACTGTGTGTGAAAAAACGTATTACTTTTTATGCAAAGGAACAGATAAAGGTTTATCCCATGCTGAAATGAAAAGAAAAGAGACACGACGTTTTGGCTTTAGAGCCTTGTTCAGACTTTGTCTTGTCTATCCTTTTATCAGCCTTTACCTGTTCCTTTGCAGCCTACGCATGTTGATGCAGCTACCTATTTGGATTACTTATTATGTTTTGTTTTGCATTGGAAGCATTGAGCCAAGACAGGCAGGGGTGTCATAGGATAGAGTAATGAGGATCTTATGACTACATTCAAGGAGAAGGGTCTCAAACACACATCTCTGCTTGATTAAAGACTGTGAATCGAAGAAACAGCATGGTGCTACTGTCCAGCATGTAAAAGCTGAAGCGTGTTAGTTTATCATAACAGATGAATGTGACACAACAACAGGGTCACTTGTATTCTCCCTCCACACCAAAGTAGAGGAAACATCACCATGACAACAAGCCATACCACTGTCATGGTGGGGAAGTCCTGAAAATCACAAAACAAATTCCGCCATTTTATTAATATTGTTAATTAAGCATTCTTTTCTGAACGTATAAATCAAACACCTAAGCTCTTTTGTAAATTGTCAGTTTCAATATCAGTGGTATTGGAGCTCTATAGCCCAACACATTCTCATCCAGCAGCAAACGGAGAAGATGTGCTTCCCTTTCTTTCCAGAGTTTTTTTTTGTCTGGAATGAGGCAAGGATAGAGTGAAAGCTAATTGCTGTCACATACAAGAGGGTTAGGGGCATGCCATGAAGTCAGAACTTGGAGGAAAAGATTGTAGATTGATGTGATTTTTACAACTAAAAGACTTTTTAAATACGTTACGAAACGTCAAAAAATGGAAAAGCTTTTGATAAAGACGTGCTAGTGTAAGACGGCAGTTTTTAAAAAGCATGTTTCCTTGTCATCAGGCCCTTATAGCATTCAGGCAAGGAGGATAAAACAAAGGGAAACATCGCATACTGCAATAAAAATAGTTGTAACAGAATAGGGCTCTGAAATGCCACAGTGATAATTACCCAGGCTACTTCACTTGGCTAGAAAATGTATTAAACACTCTCATTTGTGGAATATATTTATAGGAATAATGGTGCCTTGCAGTGTGAAGCTGTACTGGTATTCTAAAGGCTCATGCTCTTGATAGAATTTCCTTTTTTGATCAGAAAAAGTGTGTTTCTGCTATGCTGCTGTGCATTCAATGGAAGTTAGAGCCTCTGCCTCATAGCTCACGGCCCTGGTTTCTTTTCCGATTATGGCTGCCTGTCTCTGTGGAGGGTGTTTGCCCTCTCCATGATTGCAGGGATTGCATTTCACTGAATTCCCAAGCCCATTCCCAGCTTCTGAAGACAAACAGGTAGGTTTGACTGTGTACTTCAGATTGCCCAGTATGACCAGGGGTTAGGGTTAGGATTTGTCCCGAATATCCCTGGTTTAGTGACTGACATAAAACCAAATAAGCATGATTAGCAAAGATCTTGTCCTATCTGTCACTATCCTGGTGTTGTTTTTCCAATTAAAATCTCTCTTGTCGTCAATCACACATCAGCGTTGGACATCTTTGAAATTCTTTGATGTCTTAATCTGCTGTCAGTTACTGTTCTGTGTAGGCTGCAAGACATCAAGAAGCTCATAACTCCAGGCCTTGCAGATAAACTTGGCCTTATTCACCTTTAGGAAACCAAAGCCCTCTCACAGTGTCAGCTATAAAAAGTGACACAGTGGCCCCAGAATGCATCATTTTCTCTTTCTTTCGTCTCCCTGCCTTCCCCATAGCTGGTTGTGAGGGTGAGTGATGTCCCTGATCTCTCAGCTGGCATCACCTGCTCTTTTGGGAACCTGACGGAGGTCGAAGGTCAAGTAATCGGGAATGAAATACTATGTGTGTCGCCCTCTTCCAAAGATGTCCCCCTCATACCCACTGACCAAGGTAAGGTTGCCCCCGATGGCGAAACTGTCTCCAGAGCTCTTGTCTGACTAAATTTTGTCCTTTTCTGCTTGTATTCTCCTTCTAATTGTGAACATATTTTCATTGTGATCTTCCGTATCTAACTATAACCATGACTCTCTACAGTTAATGTTTATATGATCGTGATATTGTCAAGTGCATTGAATTAGACAGTGACAAGATAGAGGCATAATAGATTATAATCAGAATATGTAAAAAAATATATTTATATTGGTGTAAAATGCAAAATAAAATAATGGTAAATGTTTAAATGACCTTGCAAATGTTCTCTGGTAAGCTTTCCGAAGGGCTAGCACAGATGTTCCAGGTGAAATCTTGATAATCAGGACTTGACGGTGCTTGCTGGTATTTATGGAGCACACAACCTGACATCTTTCTCTGACTTTTATTGCATTAGTACCAGTTAATTGTCTTTTTTTTGTCAGTTTCACCCAGATGGCACAGCCTGCCTGCAACATGTGAAAAACAGTCTTATTTACTGAACGTATTTATAGGCCTCCTGGATCTGTAAGCCCTATACAGACCTTTTCCGAGGAAATGTTTTCCGTGAGAACAGTTGCGCTGGGGTCACATGTTCCTGCAGTCTCGACCCTGCCTGGAAAAAGAAAGAAAAGCCTTTTCACATGCTTGTGTCCTAATGAGCACAGGCAGCCCTTGGCCCAGCCAGTGCAGTGTGCATGCCGAGAGCTGAGCTGACACTTATTAAGTTTAATTGCCTTTTCTGCTCCAAGCCTGCTGACTGTATTAGCAGCCCATATTCTAGTCTTTCCAAGTTATAATGGGGAAAAGTGTGGCTCACCAGGGCAGGCGATGTGAGAAGGTAAGGGGGAGAGGAGCCCAGAAAAGCCTCTTTCTAAGATGGTCACTTGTGAGAATTGTTAAAAAACCAGGATGCACACACGAAACTCTATTGCAATTCATTAAACTGCATTAATGTTTCGGCACATAAAAGCCTTCATTAGGTTTTACAGACACATTTAATGTGACAGAGGCTTTATGTCACTAATCAATTAATTAGCAGAAACATACATTAAAGTTATTCTTCAATCAACAGTCAGGTAATGAGTTAATGATATGAACTTAAACATGCACAAACACCATAAATTGAAACTACAGTGGGAGCCCAGCGCTGCAAGGTAGCAATGCTAACCACTGCACCACCATGCCACCCTATACTGTACATGTGGATATACTGTGGTAGTGGTTGTACCTGGAAACTGTAGCGCTGTTGAGGTGTCTGAGAAATACTCACTGCTGTACACCAAGCTTTACTCTTGGAACAATATAGCAGTGTACAGTGAAATCATATTAAAACCATAGCACAAACAAGGCAAAAAAAATGAATTTCCCATTAGATGGAGCAAAAACTCCAACTGGGAGACAACCGAGACAAGGCTGGAAAGATAAGGAAAAGCCAAAACATATAATGAGAGGTTTCTCAACCAACTGGAACAGATGTACCACACTGGAGAGAAATAGGCTAAATTTGTTCTGAAAGTATGTTTAGGAAGGTGAAGGAAAGGAAAGTTAATTCTACACAAAAAATCATCTCAAAGCCACAGCTGTTGTTGGCAGTGCGATTAGTGCTCACCAGCTGCTGGGGCACCCTGGGAAATGTCAGTCCGGTGTGTTTTGTAATCCTCAGCTCTTTCTCTCTGGTCCTGTGAGACTGGCTGAAATCAGTGGCGGTTGTACTTAGTTGCCTACTTGATAAAAGAAATGGAAATACGATCTACACTACGTACTTTCACAAAGTAAACCTGTACTGTCTCCCCTGATGTGAGTGTTTGGGCTACAATGTGGTGTGTGTTAGACCTCAGAACCTAGAGTGCTCTGAACTGGACAGCTGGACAGCTCTTCAGGAACCCAGGGCTAGAGATGGAAAGAAGCAGTTCTACATTCCCTTGGGGGTGACTATGGGCAGGACTCTGATTGAACTAGGCAAGACTACTGCTGCCTTCCTACTATAGCCAGGAAAACAGCTATTCAATCACACTGACCAACCCCACAGGCCTGAGCAGGCAAAGAGTCACATTACAAAATGTGATTACAAAAGAGTCTCCCTTTTTCTCCTCTCTTTGCTCAGCTCAGTGAGATACATTTTTGTTTCTGAACCAAAATCTATCCTGAATTGTTGCTAATGTACTTACTGAGAGCAGGAGGATTCTAGAAGCCGCAGGGAACAGCACAGCAAGACAAACAACTGTTCGACAAGACATACTTGTTTACAAGCTGCTTTCCATGCACATGTCAGAGCACAAAAGATCAGTGTGCTCACACTGGCAGTGTGTAGGCATTGCTAGCCAGGTTGGCACCTGCCGGAAGTACATTTAAAGTTTACAGCCTCCACTTGCCCACCCCCCTCTTTTTTTAGCAATTGTTCTAGATAACATAACAACGGAAAAAAAGAGGACCTGTCCTTTGGATGAGACCTGAAATTGAAATTGTGACAACATGGGCATTAAAGATCCCACAATGATAATAAGAGTAAGGGTGTAAACCCTGGTGGTCTAGCTAAATTCCACGGGGCTGCAGTCTGGCCTACCTAAATTCTCCCTTAATTCAGTTGGCGAGACCACTCCTTCTAATCTGTTGTGAAGTAGGATTGCTGGCACAGAATGCCTACCATACAGTACCTCACCCAGGTGGGCTGTATGTTACGAGGTTCTGACTCTCTGTGGTCATTAAAAATCCCAGGGCGTTTCTCGAAAAGAGTAGGGGTGTAACCCCAGCGTCCTAGCCAAATTTCTCATTGGCCCTTACCAATCATGGCTTCCTTATAATCCCCATCTATGAATTGGCTTCATTACTCTGCTCTCCTCCCCACTGATAGCTGATGTGTGGTGAGCGTTCTGGCGGACTATGGCTGCCAACGCATCATCCAGGTGGATGCTGCACATTGGTGGTGGTGGAGGGGAGTCCCCATGACCTGTAAAGCGCTTTGAGTGGAGTGTCTAGAAAAGCTCTATATAAGTGTAAGCAATTATTATTATTATTATTATTATTATTATTATTGGTGGGCAAAGTGGGTCCTCTCCTGTAAATGCAGTAAATCACTCCTGGACTCAATGGGGTGAAAGGTGCTGTATGAGGAACTATTTTATTATTAGTAACCCTTGCTGTAATTTGTATAGATAAAGTGGGTTCCTTCTGCATTGTACAGACACAGCTCTTGTCCACAGCAGCGTTCCTTACCGTAACCCCGGAGCGCAGGATTGCTCAGATTCAGCTTTACTACTGGTGCAGGAGAGCGGCCAGCCTCTCCCAGAGAGACAGAGGCAGTCTGAGAAGAGTCTGCAGAGCATGACATCGAAGGCCTGTCTGATCAAACACTGTCACGAACCACAGCTCACAGCGACGATGCACGAAAGCGTAACTAAATTCATCTGAACAAACAGTGTCACGGCCTGTATAGTGCATCAGCGAACAGTGCTGCAGTGAGATAGCTGGAGACATTCACATGCTTCGATTACAGACACAAAGTGCGGAGACAAAGCGTTACGGTGTCTCCCGAATACGCAGCGGTACGATACCACAGCTTACACAAAGATCATTGGAAAAGCAGAGCAGACAATTGGGCTGCCTAAAGAAATACTAGATTACAGAGCGATTTACGACGGGCAGCTGAATTGACCCAAGGGATTATCTGTCTTAATATTGTAGTAAACAGCAGTTTACAGCAAGAATGAAGAATGGATATACAAGCTTATCTGGAGACATGTTCTCATAATTCTGTGTGAAGATCTGATCAACAACAGACGCATTGCCAAAGTATGCTGTTCTCAATCGCTTTCTTTGGGACAAGTGAATAAGCAAATGGGCAGCACAGAGATGACAGTTGCAGAAACAGAGAAGCTTATTACAGTATATGGTTGTTTCTGATTCACTCCCGGTGTAAAGTGATGCCACAATTCTTCATTCTTTCACATATCTAGCAAATGGTAGGCCTGGGATTGGGAGAGTGTCAAGTTTCTGGGCTTTCTCTGCCGAATGAAGCTCCTGAGGTACGCACCACACTTCCAGCTGGACAATGGCGATAGCCCCAGAGAGAGCTGGGCCTCAAGACCTCATGCTCTCAGACTTGTCGTTCTGCGCCATTGTCCTGTCTTTCATTGTCCTTCAAGCATACAGGTGCTTTCTTACGATAGCTCTTTAGCCAAGTGGTTTGCAAATTCAATGTGTACGTTCTTTTCACTTTATCATACAGTATCTCAGCAGCGTGTCGGTAACCTGGTAGAAACTGACCTCTTTTGAATGATTAATTACATATTAACACAAGTAGGGTTGTTCTCATATTTAAATGCGCCATTAATTCACAATTGTTATTAATAGCTTGGCTGTTATGCATTTCTAAAGAGTCATTTGGAGCCCATGAACTGAAAGGTATCGTTTGATGAAAATGCCTGCTCTTTTATCCCAGGTGAATGCACTCTGTGTTTTGGCATCCGTGCTTTTAGCAGTGCAAGTCATTCTTTCGTGCCTTCTTTCAGACTGGTTTGGAGTTGAGCTGCGATTGAATTCCCGAGAGACGGGCCAGATGTTGACCAGCACCGAGTTCAAATTCTACAACTGCAGCGTCCACCAGCTGTGAGTGTCCTGAGTCTCCTGAGATCCTCCCCTCCTCCACTGCCCCTAGCTCAGTGCAGCTGCCAGTGCCAATTCTCAGTGAACACCCTAATTGCACTGTGATACAATTAGGAAACTATCTGTAATGGTAATTCTTCTTTCTTTTATGGACAAGTTTCCCCTGGGCACTTTGCAGCATGAAAACCCCAAATAGGACAGAATTAATTACAGGAGTCTTGTGCAAACAAGACAGGCAGAAGGCCTAGATTAACCTGCAGACAGCTCTCTGTAATTAGGCAAGGCTGTCTTGACCCGTTTTCAATGTTTTTTTTTATTAATTATTTTTCTTCCACATTAAAATTTTGGATTTGGGTATAATTGAATAGCAGAATTATTCTCTTTTTTGGTTACCATTTACCGGTCTTGACTCTCATGAGATCACACAGGCACATTTATACAGCTTGCGAGCCAAGTCTCCAGTTCTCACCACAGTCAGTTTTGTTTCCTTGCCTCAGTACCACAGAGCATCAAGCATATGTATGTTTTGCTGTGTTGTTGTTTTTCATTTAAACTCCATACGTGGTATCTGGGTAGGTACACGGAAACTGCTTTCTGGCTGTGGCAAACCTGAAACCTGCGCTTCTACAGTGGCAAATCCCAGGAGGTGTCTGGGGAGCAAACATCTGCTATCAGTACTGTACATTTGAGATGTCAGCTTGGTGCAGTATGGACAGTGTGTGCTCCATAGCTCTTGAGCATAGGTTCTTTAGCCCAGGGTGACACACTGTACAGTTGTGGGGACTAGAGGAAGTGGTTAAAAAGATTTCTTGAAAACAATCTCTCTCTCTATGCCTTTAGATTACCAAATTATTTATTTTTCCTTTTCTATTTATGTGTTTTGCCTTATTTTGATTTTAAGCACTTCCAGCTATAGAATGTATCATTTTCAATCAAAAATGTTTCTCTGAACATACTTCTCATTACAAGGAGGGTATGAGGAACCAAATCTAACTTTTATTTTTGTTGAATTTGCAAACCAAAACCTCCCCTTTCATATAACCAGATAGAATCGGTTGGCTTCATTAGAATCTGTACATTCAACTTTTGACGGAGGTAGTCTTTAGGTGTCGGAATAATTTGTACCCTAGCCTATACCTGCAGGAATTACAGAGCTGAAATTGAAACACTGCCACCTAGTGGCATTGTTATAGTGTGAGGCTTCATGTGTGCTAAAAGCCACCATTTCTCTGATGTCGCCTGCTTCAATAATGAAGACTAGTAGTACTGTAGCTCTCCAAGCTTACACCTCCTGGTCTATTATAGCAGAGCAGTGATAGCTTGAAGCATGAGAGGAAGAGAGTGCTGTTTAAAACAGAATGTCTCTCCCTTGGTGGGATGGACTAATTTCCAAGATTATCCGTAGATTGCCAATACACTGACAAGTCATTTTCCCTCTTTAACTTGGTTAAGCATTTGGCAGCTTTACCTCATGGTGCTTTAAATCCCTTAAATGACTCACGTATTCCTGTTAAAAACTGTTAACATTCTAAAAAGGGGCATAGTGATAAGCATCCACAGTTGTAAATCTGTTAGAAACAATCAAGCCCAAAACTCAGCTCAATGCTGTTCTAGCAGAGAATATTAACATATGTCCCTGCTTTGTTAGAAATTCTTGTGCAGATCTGTGTTTTTGTTTGACAGTGCAAATGTATAAGAGGAGCCCCCTGCTCTCTGTGTATTAATATTTCAGTATAGAAACTGATATATAATTTATTCAGGATGTAAAACATTGTAAAAGTATAAAGAAGCAATCTAGTGTCAGGTTTCTCTAAGTGTATTTTATTCCATAACACTTTTTTGCAATTGACAGCCATTCCCAAGTAATTATAAATTGTAAAGAGGCACGTCATTTCCTGCTGAATTAATATTGTCATAGTGTTAAGTAAATGTGTACTCATGACGTATTTAACAATATTTAAACTCTCAATCCTGTATCAGTGTAAATTAATCATAATCTTTCAACTGTGACCGTGTTTTTTTTTTTTTGCTGTGACCTGCTCACAGCAGTGCACACAAAACGAGCTGATTCAGCACTTTTCCAGATAGGCAGCTTCTAGGACTGTATTGGCTGACGTCTAGTTCCAAGCCCCCTAGCGATCTCCAAACAGTGCCAGGGTGGAGCAGGTCTGAATAGATGGAGCTGCGTATGACCTGGGGGATCGGTGCACTCACTTGTCAATCTTCATTAATGAAGCTTGCTGCCCAGAACCCGACTTTGCCCTGGGGAGATCTCAGTGCCTATTGCATAGGCAGGCATGCGCACTGATGCGCACATGCACTGCAACTAACAGCACATTCAGTCTAATGGCAAGCAGTAGACTAACAGTAGACATTGCAAGAGATCGCAAGATTTGAGCATGGGTGACGTTCACTGGACTTCTGTATTTATTCAGCTTATTGTTTTAGCTTCCAGCATGCACTTTTCAGGTTTCATCTATTGTAATGACTCACTGTACATCTTTGTAATTCCTTGATTTTAAAGGGCCAAGAAATTAATTAAAGTTTTCTCTCTTTTGTTCCTATATGTTTTTTGCCATTTCTGACATTTTGCCAGGCACTTTATCACCCTTCAAATTAAAACTGGCCACCCACTGAACCTCAGCAGGTGTGAGCCTGGTCAGTACCTGGATGGCAGACCTCCTGGGAAAGCTAAGGTTGCTGCTGGAAGATGTGTTGGTGGGGCCAGTAGAGGGCACTCACCTTGCCGATTGTATGGGTCCTTATGCCCCAGTATAGTGACGGGGACACTGTACTGTAAAAAAGGTGCCGTCTTTTGGTTGAGACATATAACCAAGGTCCCAACTCTCCGTGGTCATTAAAAATCCCAGGTTGTTTCTTGAAAAAAGTAGGAATATACCCCAGTTTTCTGGCCAAATTTCTCCCTGGCATTTACCATTTTTGGCCTCCTAATAATCTCTGTCTCTGAACTGGCTTCATCACTCTGTCCCCCCCCCCCCCCCACCACTAATAGCTGGTGTGTGGTGAGCGTACTGGTGCACTTTGGCTGCCGTCGGATCATCCGGGTGGAGCTACGATTTGGTGTTGGTGGAGGGGAGTTCCCATTACCTGTAAAGTGCTTTGAGTGGAGTGTCCAGAAAAAGTGCTCTATAAATGTAAGAATTATTTATTTCAATGCTCTGGGCTAAGCGTCTGCTGTGCTCTGGTTGTCTCTACAGGTGCCTGTCCTGTGTGAACAGTGCCTTCCGCTGCCACTGGTGTAAATACCGCAACCTGTGCACCCACGACCCCTCCAGCTGCTCTTTCCAAGAAGGTCGAGTCAACGCCTCTGAGGTACATACAGCAGCACATTTGCTGGGTCTGTGCGCTGGTGGAGCTGGAGCTGGAAGCAATGATTCTAGATGGGACTGCCCATCATTTTCCTCACCAGCTCTGTCTTCTATAAATAAGCGGTATCCTCTGTAATAGGATAATATTCATGAAAGGTTCTTTTTTGAATTGTTTACAGATTTGGTTTCTGCCTTTCTACAAATGAAACAAAGCTGTTTTTCCATATGTGGCAATAGATGAATGTCATGCAGATGTCAGTCAATGAAAGACGTATTTCTTTTTTTTAATAGCACCTACCCATACATAACTTTCCCATGTTTTTATGAAGTGGGGGTGCTTACAAAATCACAGTGCATACAGCAGTACAGCAATAAAATGGACCCATGGAACAGTAGTACAACCAGAAGGCACTGCATTTCCTCTGTGGGCCGCCACTTGTGCCAGTGCCATCTTCAGTGTGTGGCAAGACGGTGGTGTACAGCTGTATGCGGCTGTTGAAGGTTCACTGAAGTTGTGTGTATGAGCAGTCTCCATCCACAGTTGATGTTCCTCCTGTCTGACTGGTGATGACAGTAAAAATGGCCTGAGGGGGTGGCTTGAAACCTGTGGCATTTCTGAGTGATCAAATACTTGTTTATACACAAAGTGAAACTCTGTCAGTTCTTATTGTCCGCCACTGTCAACTTTCTCTCTGCAATCAGTAGACATTCTCCCCCCATACCTTCGGTGCTCAGTGCTGTCTATAAGTGTTTTTGAGACTGTCCACAAATGGGCCGCTGATTTATAATCAGTCTGGAGTAGCAGAGTGAGTTTACCGCATGGCTAGTTTTAATACAGTGCATTGATCAGTGTGAGCCCCTGAAGAGGACTGAAGAGATGTGACAGGGTTAAATGAGGTCATCCGGAGGGCTTGTGTGTGTGTTGGGGGAGAGGACCCATGCTCTATACAACACAGAGCAGCTGAACAAGTAAAGCAGGAGTTATGAGCTTCAGTGTTTAATGAAGACAAGACATCCTCAATGCGGCATTGGAGCTGCTCTTGGCTCTGTGTGTGTCAGGCTGTTTGCCTGTGTGCCATCTACTCAGTGCAGACGACTGTCTGTTTATGTGTGTGTCACTGTGAATAGCTGTAGAGTTGAGTGTGTCAGGCTTGATTCTGCACACGGCTTTGTCCATCTTAGTCAGCCTATGGCAAGGGCTTCTCTCACTGTGGCCTGCTGTGTGAAAACAACACCCAACATATGGAGTGCTGGCCTATTTTATTTATAATAATTTCCTAATTATTGCCTAAAGTTGTAAATGGTTGTGTACAGTGCTTAGCTTTAAGGTGATTATTTGCCTTTATTAAATTCAAGGGGATCTTTTCTTATACATTTTGTAGCGTTTCATTTTCCCCCACCTTTCCACAAGCGAGGCAAACTTTGCCTTCTCAAAAAAGTGTTTTTGATGTGCTTGTATCTTTATACGCCTCTGTGTTGGTTCTGCAGGACTGCCCTCAGCTGGTCCGGTCGGAGGAGGTTCTCATCCCAGTCGGAGAGGTGAAACCCATCACTCTGAAGGCACGCAATCTGCCCCAGCCCCAGTCGGGGCAACGGGGGTACGAGTGTGTGCTGCACATCCAGGGCACCAGCCACCGCGTGCCTGCGCTGCGGTTCAACAGCTCCAGTGTGCAGTGCCAGAACAGCTCGGTACGTCAGACATGCCCCCTCATACACACACACCCTCACCCCTCTGTCGCTGGCTAGCCCAGTAAAATCCCCAATTTAGGGTCTTTTGTGTGGCTCAACCAGTAAACCAGTCTCTCTAGTCCAGACGAGGCTGTTTCAAGTCCTCAGTGACTGGGAGACTGTGACGTGGTCTCCGGTGAGCCAGCCTTGAGCTGGCCTGGTTATCTTGGTCAGCCCAGCTCTCATTAACTTACACTTGTCAGGACAGAGTTTGCTCTCAAACTAAACAGCACACAGATAATACTAAGCAGATTTATTACACATGCACAGGCATATAGCAATTCAAAATTCTTTACATAGCATGCAAGTATTTCAATTCAAAGAACTGACAATGAACTGACTGAATTTTAAGAAGCACATTATTTAAGGTTTCACTGTGCTTTCTTTCTCCTAAACAGTTCAAGACTTCACTAAAGTTTGACAGTTTCCTTGTTAACAATGGCTTCAGGGTTAATTTTCATAACTTAAGAAAGTTTGTTGATCTTGTGCTTATGAGCCCCAACCAATTCAGTGCATATCACTCCAGACGGGAGAGGATTAAGCTATCATGCATTTAATATTCATTTTTTAATTTACATACAGGATTTCCTTCTTGCAAATTTCTCCATACTGCCAGAATCATGTGTGTTTGGTGTCTGCCTACTCAGCATATTAAAACCTTTGTGAACAGATTCAACAGCTGTTTTTCAGTGTTGTCACTGCTTCCTTCAGTGGCTGCAGTTTGCTATTCCAGACTGGCTCTTGAGTGGCACTGACAGCTCAACAAGAGTGACAGCAGCAGAAAAGGCAGCCTTGGCTACAACAGAGAGAGTGATTAATATGATAAGGAATGGTGCTGTTGTAATAGAGACAGCAGGTTATTACTGCCCTGTTCTGTCTGCACACAGTATATCTACGAGGGGATGAAGATCAGTGACCTGGCGGTGGACTTCTCCGTGGTCTGGAATGGCAATTTTATCATTGACAATCCCGAGAATATTAAAGGTACTTTTGATATCTTTAAGCAGAGCCCAGTAGCTGTGTAGCATGCATTAAGAATTGATAAATTTGGCAGCTTAAAACCTAAAACTTTCAATTGTTCCATTACAATCCCCAGCTCCCCAGCTGCAGGGTGTTCAAAGAAGTCCCACAGTCTGTTTAATTGAGATATTGCCACAGCTTGCACTAATACAGTTTTATTGATATTGCGCTGTTTGAGGATTACCATGTTCTTTTCTCACAAAAGACCATCCAACAATTTATTCCACAGCTGGACACAGAAAAGCATAAATATATATTTGTGTATATTTGTATGGAGAGAAAAAGACTGGAAGTCCAATATATTCTATTGACAAAATAAAAATTACACAACGCCCTGTGTTATCCAGAACGCATTTAAAAATCTGTTTTAAAGACCAGAAGCAATGAGCACATAACAAGATTGAAAATAAGTAGAAGTCATTCTTGTCTGCTGCTTCTTGATGGACCCCCAAGAAGTCTGCTCCCAAAAATGGCTGGCAGTTTGTCCTCTAGCCCCACTGCTCCTTATATTGCTTGCTATTTCAGTCTCCTTCCACAATTAGGTCTGTAGTGGTACTCTTTGTTGAGTTTCTTAATGTTTCACAAAATTACAGTAAGTAATTGTGTAGTCTCTTGCAGTTTTTTTGTGGTTCCCCTTCTATGAAGTGAGTCAGCATCTGCCCTATCCTTCTTTTTCTACATAATCACGTTAGGGCAAAAGACAGGATCTGCTTTACAGGAGATTAAGGATATACAGTTGCACTTAAAGACTGAGGACAAGGTGCTTATGGGGAGGAGGCCCTGCTGCTCTCTCCTGACCTTTAACCTTGTTCCGCTCCCACAGTGCACCTGTACAAGTGTGCCGCCCAGAGGGACAGCTGCGGGATGTGTCTGAAGGCAGAGAGGAAGTTTGAGTGCGGCTGGTGTAGCGGAGAAGGCCGCTGTACCCTCCGCCAGCACTGCCTGCCACATGCCAACCGGTGGCTGGACCTGTCCAGCAAGAATGTGAAGTGCACCAATCCCCGAATCACTGAGGTAGGCAGCAGGGTCTGGGCTAGGAGAACAGGGGGCAGGGAGGGACCATGAGGACCAGGGGATCCCAGCCAGGGAGAAGATGTGGCGATTGGTAAAAGGGGTACACAGTGCACTACATAGTGTAGGCCAATGTCCGCTGGCCTGCATGAATAGAGACTTCAATCCTGATGGTCCACAGAGGAAACTCTTCTTTAAACTGTTTCCAGGAGACGATTCCTGTTCATGTGAGCATAGCCAAGACGCTCAGGTATCCACGTACGACAAGAATTTAACACAATGTCTGAGAGTTGTATCTTATTCAAGCTTCGGTAATAGTATTTCCAGTTGCTTAGTGTCAGGCAAAAAGCTTGAACAGTCCAACCAAAGCATAGCTCAAAGTGGTATATTCATAGTTGGCAGTATGGAAGAAATCCGTTGAAGATAATATCGGCCATTAACTCTCTCCACGTTAGAAAATGCATTCCTCTCCATTAAGAAAAGCTACGCTGTTTTGTATTAAAAGGCAGAGCTTTTTATCTACAGACACTCAGATTGTTTTACTTTTAGTTGGCATTTTAATGAGGCTGTGGGAGGGTCCCCTGGGTTGTGGCCCTGTAGCTGCCTACAGTAATATCAGTGTGGATTGTGTTTCTGTGGGTTTTAAATCAATAAGGAAATAAGGCATATGGTGTTTGTTTTCATACTGGAGTGGATCCATGTGGGTGGACGTGGATGAGTAATTCGTGCATTCACCTCTAGCAGGATTACAAGGGCACCGGTTTGATTGCTGCTTTAGGGCAAAGCCTAAATCATCCCCTCCACCCTTCTGTTCTTCCTGCACTCTCACTTCTACCCTCTCCTCTCTTCCCTCTCTTCCCTCTCCACTCCTTCCCCTTCCCGATTCTCTCCCCTTCCTTCTCCGTTCTCTTCCTGTCTCTCTCTCTCATTTCGCCTCACCCCTCCTTTCCCGTGGCAGCAAGCCTGAGCTCGTCAGTTGGTGATATGATTGAATATTCACTTCAAAGCAGAAAGAATGTTTGAAAAATGTTCCTTTCTCTACCATTTTGCAGCTGATGATCTTGGACAATGAAGACCGATAGTGCTTTGCATACAGTATGTGACCTGCTCTTTGAGGCTCATTCTCAATATTGACTTGTTAATATCGCCCACAGTCTCTAGAAGGCAACTTTAAAGGAGCCCCATCTGAATATTTATGTACATTGCTTCAATGGATGTGGCCTTTTAGTTATGATATTTGTAAGTAGAAAGAGAAATTTGAAATAATCTTAGGAATTAACTACAAGCGCTTGTTAACATGAGTTAAAAATATACTTGCATTGTTTTTATCTCCTGGAAAGATCCCAGATTAATAGGCAAAAAATAATAGACATACTGTATACAATTACAGTACAATGTTTGAAAGAAACACCATGGTATTGACCTATAAGTGTAATTGTCAACAATGTTGTATTGTATTTAAAAGGATTTTTTTTTATTTGTGAGCCCCTCTACTACAATGGATTCCTGGGTTGGAAAAGTTTTATAAGTAACAAAGACAAACTTTTTGTGTACCATAAAGGTCTGAATTTGTCTTTCCACGTAGTTTCAATTCACTCCCAGTTATCCCAGTGTAAAAACTGTTTTTACACACTCCCTTACTCTCTTGCAAGAGCCTCTATTGATGTTGCTATTCCTAACTCCGGTCTCGGAAAGAAGAGTCGTCTGTATTGATTTGTACAGCAGCGGGATCCGCATTCAGCATTCTCTGAGTGGCATCTACCGTCCACACAGTAAAGTAATGCCACTGCCACACAACAGGAAATCTTCCTAACTGACATGGCTCGCCCATCTTCGTGCTAAAAAAGTTTTCTCATTCGCTCGTTTCTCTCAGGTGCTCAAGCCTGCCTAAGACCTTATTTAGTTATTTCGTAACGCTCTGCTACACTGTGTTTAACCCCAGACCCCGTAACTATTGATTGATTTGTGACAGCAGAGAAACAAATACATTCAAAACATGAATAAATAACACCGGTCATTTGGCTCTTTCTGCCCCTGAATGAGCCCTGGTGCACACATGCTAATTAAAAACGGAAGCAAATGAGTTCCTAATTGATTTTCTGGTGTAAGCAGAAAGCCAGGTTAAAGTACTAAATGAAGCATTTCTCTCTTTCCCTCTCTCGCTTCCTCTGCCCTCCTGTCGGGTTCAGTTAATTTCAGACAAGAGGCTTGTCTGTACCGCAAGCATGGGTCATGCAGACTAGTACAAAATTAAAACCCCCCAACAAAATGGCCGACATGCAAGACAAATTTGTGAAGCAGCCTGAGATAAATAGCCAGACTTTCACCTCTTACTCATCTTCCCACTCCTTCTCCCTGCAACCCCCCTCTCTCCATCATTTTCCTTTTCTCTCATCTTCCCACTCCATCCTTCTCTCTCTCCCTCCCTCCAGGCAGCTCTTCACCTGTCCATCCTCCTTCTGTTGCGCCATCTCCCTCCGTCTTTGTTTCTTCCTCAAGTTCTCATTCTTCTCATTCTTCACTGGCACCACAAGTGGAACAGTTTTGCCAAAGATACAGTAAAAGTGATTGAAAACACACAATTGGCGTTACTTCTTATACTCATTGGTTGTGTTCTTAATACTTTTCAGTAGATCTAAAAATTGCACCCTTCACATGCAGAAAAAGAGGCCAGTGCTGGTGCAGTAGTTTCCTGCAAGGTATATATTTCTATGGCTGGATGCCACAGATCCTGCAGCTATTTGTGTTCCATTGTTCTTCCAAAAACCATGAGTCATTCTGCCTGGTTCGGGAGAAGGAGGCTCTGTCTGTCTCTCCTTTCCAGTGTCATGTTCTTACCGCATTCCCTCCATCAGCTCAGTCCCGGCCCATGCCCTTCTTCAAACCTGCCTTACTGTTCTGCAAGGCTGTGCAACGCAGATTTCTGCAGTCCCGTTTCTTCCTGCAGATTAATTCTACTAAGAATGTTTATCAGGCAGAGTCTTGTCAATTTACATTACTGCCCTCCCCAGCCATGAAAGCGAAAGAAACCGCATTAGAAGATATAGCAAATTCCCACATGAAGAAAGATCAGTGGTAAGAATAGCACATGATAATTAATTTAATGACAGAAGCTGACTGTTCTGTCACTACAGAGTTAATGTACACTGCCATCTGAACCACATCAGAATTTTTGATTATATATATATTTGCTTCTTTGCTAGATATTCCCAACAATGTATATTCTATAATTCAATTTGCATTCTCCTTGTTATTTAATGTTGGACACAACTGTTCGTCTGCACAGAACCATGTAAAGGCCACAGCCATTGACAGGTTCCTTTGAAACAGTTTGCAGCCACCCTTGTGCTCATTAGCACTGATATTCAGATGGTTTCCACTGTGCGAAAGCTGCACAGAGCTGGCATTGGCCACTGATCACTGGTCCTCCCGCAGAGTGGTAAGGTGAGGCTGGAGATGGTAGAGGGAATGAGAGAGCAGAGCTGGCACAGAGCTGTGGGCAAGGGCTGTAGCTCATCCCTGTTGCTTAATGTCTTTGGCACGGGGAAGCTACTTCATGGATCCCTTGGTTTTCCAGAGGAGCCGGATTAGAATTTCACAGCTGCAGCCCTGCCGCTGCCCTGCGCTGGAGCTTGCCAGCGCTGTTGCAGAGCTCCCAGGAGACACCCTCGCTAATGGTCCTCACTGTTCCCTATCAGGGCCGGTGATCAGCGCTGAGAGTTTATGATGTGTGAAATCTCATTCATGGGCACCATAGCAAGAAAACCAGCCATTTGCCAGGCACTGAGGGTTAGCCTCTTCACGGAGTGGGAAGCGCCTTGTTTCTCTGTGCCTCTGTGTGCTCCTGAAACAGAAACAGCCTTCCATATCTGCTGCTGGTATGACTGTAGTTGTAAATCTGTGTGGAGCATGTAAGCATGAGTTAGGTTACAAACTATAGTTTGATTTCAGTTTAAATTTAAACTGTGTTTTGCTTCACTTCAGAGTTGAGAGGTTCCTGAGACATATCTTAAACAGTGCAAAACATTGAAACATTTATCACAACATTCACACTAAACAAACAAATGTATAAAGACTTAAGGAGTTACTTCTCTCCTCCAGGGACAGTAAGACAGCGAGGACAGAGGGATGCAAAGTCCTGTAATCCTGTCTCTGTTCATTTCAGGGATGGGCAGGGAAGGGTTAGGGCCAGAACACGGCAGACAGAGGGCATGACAGACATGGGCACATTTTTTAAATTAACTTTGACTTAAAAATAACCTTGTACATCAGTTTGGCAACAGTATTGAAAATGTGTATTGGTGTCGAGTTCACAATTCCACAAACCTAATACAAGAATTTTCATTATTTTCTGTAAATACTACCTTATAGATCAAAGGATAGAGACCGATGTCTGGAGTGTTTTATTTAGGTGCAGAAGAGTGACACTTTCCTTTTACTTTCCTGGGTCGCATGTTTTTCTTCAGCATCTATTTTTAAAACCCATCGCTTGAAAGCGGCACAGAATTTCCCCTGAGGGCTCAGGGGAAACTAAAAACTCAGTTTGTATGTTTTTGTTATGTAAACAGTGAAATTATTTTTATTAGTAAATGCTACAAGAAACTAAATAATTTATTACATTTCTCCTTTATGTCACCGTAAGCCGATTTGTCTACATGGCTGTTGCATTTGTGTGATATGTATTTATAAAACGATGACTGTACTAAATATTTAATGTTTCTATTAAATACCACTTTTCATAAAGAAACATGAATATTAAAGACCCATAAACCCCAAAAGAGCAAGGAGTCACATCAAATGAAGCTGGCAATACAATATGGATCTGCTTTGCCTAGGCACGCAGTCTATAAGATCTCTCGGTCTTCTGAACAGCTGGAGTGTGTTCAGCGTGTGGGTGTGCTTGTCTGGAAGCACTCTTAAACTCAGGTTTTTATTTTTTATGTAACACAAAATGTTCTATAGAGTTGGGGGGAATAGGTCGTAACTTTTCTCACTCAGCTAAC